CAGACACCGTCAGAGCACAGAGCAGACTGTCAGAACACAGAACAGACTGTCAGAACAGACACCGTCAGAGCACAGAGCAGACTGACGGAACAGACACCGTCAGAGCACAGAGCAGACTGTCAGAACACAGACACTGTCAGAGCACAGAGCAGACTGACGGAACAGACACCGTCAGAGCACAGAGCAGACTGATGGAACAGACACCATCAGAGCACAGAGCAGACTGACGGAACAGACACCGTCAGAGCACAGAGCAGACTGACGGAAGACACACCGTCAGAGCACAGAGCAGACTGACGGAACAGACACCGTCAGAGCACAGAGCAGACTGTCAGAACACAGAACAGACTGTCAGAACAGACACCGTCAGAACACAGAGCAGACTGTCAGAGCAAGAGCAGACTGACGGAACAGACACCGCCAGAGCACAGAGCAGACTGACGGAACAGACACCATCAGAGCACAGAGCAGACTGACGGAACAGACACCGTCAGAACACAGAGCAGACTGTCAGAGCAAGAGCAGACTGACGGAACAGACACCGCCAGAGCACAGAGCAGACTGACGGAACAGACACCATCAGAGCACAGAACAGACTGTCAGAACAGACACCGTCAGAACACAGAGCAGACTGTCAGAGCAAGAGCAGACTGACGGAACAGACACCGCCAGAGCACAGAGCAGACTGACGGAACAGACACCATCAGAGCACAGAGCAGACTGACGGAACAGACACCGCCAGAGCACAGAGCAGACCGACGGAAGACACACCGTCAGAGCACAGAGCAGACTGACGGAACAGACACCGTCAGAGCACAGAGCAGACTGTCAGAACACAGAACAGACTGTCAGAACAGACACCGTCAGAACACAGAGCAGACTGTCAGAGCAAGAGCAGACTGACGGAACAGACACCGTCAGAGCACAGAGCAGACTGTCAGAACACAGACACCGTCAGAGCACAGAGCAGACTGTCAGAACACAGACACTGTCAGAGCACAGAGCAGACTGACGGAACAGACACCGTCAGCGCACAGAGCAGACTGTCAGAACACAGACACTGTCAGAGCACAGAGCAGACTGACGGAACAGACACCGTCAGAGCACAGAGCAGACTGATGGAACAGACACCATCAGAGCACAGAGCAGACTGACGGAACAGACACCGTCAGAGCACAGAGCAGACTGACGGAAGACACACCGTCAGAGCACAGAGCAGACTGACGGAACAGACACCGTCAGAGCACAGAGCAGACTGTCAGAACACAGAACAGACTGTCAGAACAGACACCGTCAGAACACAGAGCAGACTGTCAGAGCAAGAGCAGACTGACGGAACAGACACCGCCAGAGCACAGAGCAGACTGACGGAACAGACACCGTCAGAGCACAGAGCAGACCGACGGAACAGACACCGTCAGAGCACAGAGCAGACTGACGGAACAGACACCGTCAGAGCACAGAGCAGACTGACGGAACACAGACACCGTCAGAGCACAGAGCAGACTGACGGAACACACACCGTCAGAGCACAGAGCAGACTGACGGAACACACACCGTCAGAGCACAGAACAGACTGACGGAACAGACACCGTCAGAGCACAGAGCAGGGCCGTCAGAGCACAGAGCAGTCTGACGGAACAGACACCGTCAGAGCACAGAGCAGACTGACGGAACAGACACCGTCAGAGCACAGAGCAGACTGACGGAACAGACACCGTCAGAGCACAGAACAGACACCGTCAGAACATAGAACAGACTGACAGAGCACAGAGCAGACCGACGGAACAGACACCGTCAGAACACAGAGCAGACTGACGGAACAGACACCGTCAGAGCACAGAACAGACTGACGGAACACACACCGTCAGAGCACAGAGCAGACTGACGGAACACACACCGTCAGAGCACAGAGCAGACTGACGGAACACACACCGTCAGAGCAAAGAGCAGACTGACGGAACAGACACCGTCAGAGCACAGAGCAGACTGTCAGAACACAGACACTGTCAGAGCACAGAGCAGACTGACGGAACAGACACCGTCAGAGCACAGAGCAGACTGACGGAACAGACACCGTCAGAGCACAGAGCAGACTGACGGAACAGACACCGTCAGAGCACAGAGCAGACTGACGGAAGACACACCGTCAGAGCACAGCGCAGACTGTCAGAGCAGACACCGTCAGAGCACAGAACAGACTGACGGAACAGACACCGTCAGAGCACAGAGCAGACTGTCAGAGCACAGAGCAGATTGACGGAACAGACACCGTCAGAGCACAGAGCAGACTGACGGAAGACACACCGTCAGAGCACAGAGCAGACTGACGGAACAGACACCGTCAGAGCACAGAACAGACACCGTCAGAACATAGAACAGACTGACAGAGCACAGAGCAGACCGACGGAACAGACACCGTCAGAACACAGAGCAGACTGACGGAACAGACACCGTCAGAGCACAGAACAGACTGACGGAACACACACCGTCAGAGCACAGAGCAGACTGACGGAACACACACCGCCAGAGCACAGAGCAGACTGACGGAACACACACCGTCAGAGCAAAGAGCAGACTGACGGAACAGACACCGTCAGAGCACAGAGCAGACTGTCAGAACACAGACACTGTCAGAGCACAGAGCAGACTGACGGAACAGACACCGTCAGAGCACAGAGCAGACTGACGGAACAGACACCGTCAGAGCACAGAGCAGACTGACGGAACAGACACCGTCAGAGCACAGAGCAGACTGACGGAAGACACACCGTCAGAGCACAGCGCAGACTGTCAGAGCAGACACCGTCAGAGCACAGAGCAGACTGTCAGAACACAGACACCGTCAGAGCACAGAGCAGACTGTCAGAGCACAGAGCAGACTGACGGAACAGACACCGTCAGAGCACAGAGCAGACTGTCAGAACACAGACACTGTCAGAGCACAGAGCAGACTGACGGAACAGACACCGTCAGAGCACAGAGCAGACTGACGGAACAGACACCGTCAGAGCACAGAGCAGACTGACGGAACAGACACCGTCAGAGCACAGAGCAGACTGACGGAACACACACCGTCAGAGCACAGAGCAGACTGACGGAACACACACCGTCAGAGCACAGAACAGACTGACGGAACAGACACCGTCAGAGCACAGAGCAGACTGACGGAACACACACCGTCAGAGCACAGAGCAGACTGACGGAACAGACACCGTCAGAGCACAGAGCAGACTGACGGAACAGACACCGTCAGAGCACAGAGCAGACTGACGGAACACACACCGTCAGAGCACAGAGCAGACTGACGGAACAGACACCGTCAGAGCACAGAGCAGACTGTCAGAACACAGAACAGACTGTCAGAACAGACACCGTCAGAACACAGAGCAGACTGACGGAACAGACACCGTCAGAGCACAGAGCAGACTGTCAGAACACAGACACTGTCAGAGCACAGAGCAGACTGACGGAACAGACACCGTCAGAGCACAGAGCAGACTGACGGAACAGACACCGTCAGAGCACAGAGCAGACTGACGGAACACACACCGTCAGAGCACAGAGCAGACTGACGGAACAGACACCGTCAGAGCACAGAGCAGACTGTCAGAACACAGAACAGACTGTCAGAACAGACACCGTCAGAACACAGAGCAGACTGTCAGAGCAAGAGCAGACTGACGGAACAGACACCGTCAGAGCACAGCGCAGACTGTCAGAGCAGACACCGTCAGAGCACAGAACAGACTGACGGAACAGACACCGTCAGAGCACAGAGCAGACTGTCAGAGCACAGAGCAGACTGACGGAACAGACACCGTCAGAGCACAGAGCAGACTGACGGAACAGACACCGTCAGAGCACAGAGCAGACTGTCAGAACACAGACACTGTCAGAGCACAGAGCAGACTGACGGAACAGACACCGTCAGAGCACAGAGCAGACTGACGGAACAGACACCGTCAGAGCACAGAGCAGACTGACGGAACAGACACCGTCAGAGCACAGAGCAGACTGTCAGAACACAGACACTGTCAGAGCACAGAGCAGACTGTCAGAACACAGACACCGTCAGAGCACAGAACAGACTGACGGAACTGACACTGTCAGAGCACAGAGCAGACTGTCAGAACACAGAACAGACTGTCAGAACACAGAACAGACTGTCAGAACACAGAACAGACTGACGGAACAGACACCGTCAGAGCACAGAGCAGACTGACGGAACAGACACCGTCAGAGCACAGAGCAGACTGCCAGAACACAGACACCGTCAGAGCACAGAGCAGAGACCGTCAGACCGTCAGAACACAGACACTGTCAGAATATAGAACAGACACTGTCAGAGCACAGAGCAGACTGTCAGAACACAGACACCGTCAGAGCACAGAACAGACTGACGGAACTGACACTGTCAGAGCACAGAGCAGACTGTCAGAACACAGAACAGACTGTCAGAACACAGAACAGACTGTCAGAACACAGAACAGACTGACGGAACAGACACCGTCAGAGCACAGAGCAGACTGACGGAACAGACACCGTCAGAACACAGAGCAGACTGCCAGAACACAGACACCGTCAGAGCACAGAGCAGAGACCGTCAGACCGTCAGAACACAGACACTGTCAGAATATAGAACAGACACCGTCAGAACACAGAGCAGAGACCGTCAGAGATCCCACGCCAGTGGGTATGCACTGTCCGGGTAACCGTCCCCACACTGGTGGCCGGGGTGGGGTAACTGTTACCCACACTGGACGTGTCTGGAGTGGGAGTAACTATTACCTACCTCGTCCCCACACTGGTGTCCAGACTCCAGGGTGGGGGTAATTAGTACCCACCTCGTCGCCACACGGTGGGCGAAATGGAGTAACTATTACCCACACTGGTGGCCGCGTGGGGGTAACATTACCCACCTCGTCGCGACACTGGTGTCCCGGGTGGGGGTAACATTACCCACACTGGTGTCCCGGGTGGGGGTAACTATTACCCACCTCGTCGCCACACTGGTGGCCGGGGTGGCCGCGCTGACCGCACTGCCAGCAGTAGAGGCGTCTCGCCGGCCTCTTCTCCAGGGCCGGCGGCGGCCGCAGCGCCGGGCCCGGCCTCGTCTGACGGGGGGGGGAGGGGGGGGGGGGCGGGTCACACACCGACACAGGGTCACAGACACTCAGACACCGGCAGACAGCCCTCCTCCGGAGCCCCCGCGACCGGCGGTAGATCGCAGTACTGACCCGTGACCTACAGCTGCCGGTACAGCACACTCGTCTCACTGCGCAGTAGCTGGCAGGCTTTTTTTCGGCAAAACCGATATTAACTCGAGGGCTATGGTATCATATCAGTCGATCGGAACTCATAAATTGCAGACGTGCGATGATCTACTCTTTCGATTGGGCCTATTGTATAACAAATCATGCGCCCAGTGTGGCAGCATAAAATCAAATGTTTTGGGGGCAAATATTAACTTTCGTGCATTGCCGTCACACTGGATGAAAATCGTAACGACGATGAGCCTAATATCTAAGGGGTGGAGCCTCTTGCGTATCAGTGTTGTGATCTCTGCGTGACCGATAGCATAGTCTTCGAGTTATTCTCGGTTTCATCGAAAAAAAAGAATACCCACTACGTCGTGAGACGAGAGCTGTACACCTATGTGTCCTCATAGGCGTGCCATTGTTTCTATAAGCCCCCCCCCCCCCCCTCCGAGTACAGACGCGTCCATCTGTCCCCGTGCAGTCACGCCTCTATCCCCTCCCCGCGCGCCCGTGGCGGGCCGTCGTCGCCCACTGACCGTGGCGTGGAGCCGCCGCCAGCGATCGGTGCACTCGTCTGAGGTGTGTCCGGACGCCTGGCAGAGGGCGCAGAACACTGGACGCACCCGGCGGGCGCAGCGGCTGGACGGGTGGTCCGGCCGGCCGCACTGCCCACAGACAGACACAGGGCGGTCACAGAGGGCGGTTACAGGGGTGGTCACAGGGCGGTTCAGAGGGCGGTCAGAGGGCAGTCACAGAGGGCGCAGAGCACGGGCCGCACAGAGCACTGTACGGACCATATATGGACCGCACCAAGCACCATACAGACCTTACGGGGACCATACAGGACCAAACAGCACCATACCGGGGACAATACCGAGGACCGCACAACCTATGTGTGATTGTGGACCCCACAAAGTATCAAAGAGGGCTACACCATGGATGGGAGAATAGTACCTGAATATCCTTGGAAGGAACACCTTTGGAGGCCATGGATTCTTTCATCGATGGCAACGTAGAGGGCAGTACCGACCAACCAAGATCGATTGAGGACCATAAAGGAAAATACAGGACCATACAGAGAACCACAAATGGCCATACAGAGGACCATTGGGGACCGTACTGGGACAGACAGCGGACCGTACTGGGACAGACAGCGGACCGTACTGGGACAGACAGCGGACCGTACTGGGACAGACTGGGACAGACAGCGGACCGTACTGGGACAGACAGCGGACCGTACTGGGACAGACAGCGGACCGTACTGGGACAGACAGCGGACCGTACTGGGACAGACAGCGGACCGTACTGGGACAGACTGGGACAGACAGCGGACCGTACTGGGACAGACAGCGGACCGTACTGGGACAGACAGCGGACCGTACTGGGACAGACAGGACCGTACTGGGGCAGACAGCGGACCGTACTGGGACAGACAGCGGACCGTACTGGGAGAGACAGCGGACCGTACTGGGACAGACAGCGGACCGTACTGGGACAGACAGCGGACCGTACTGGGACAGACAGCGGACCGTACTGGGACAGTCAGCGGACCGTACTGGGACAGACAGCGGACCGTACTGGGACAGACAGCGGACCGTACTGGGACAGACAGCGGACCGTACTGGGACAGACAGCGGACCGTACTGGGACAGTCAGCGGACCGTACTGGGACAGAAAGCGGACCGTACTGGGACAGACAGCGGACCGTACTGGGACAGTCAGCGGACCGTACTGGGACAGTCAGCGCACCGTACTGGGACAGACAGCGGACCGTACTGGGACAGACAGCGGACCGTACTGGGGACAGACAGCGGACCGTACTGGGACAGACAGCGGACCGTACTGGGACAGACAGCGGACCGTACTGGGGACAGACAGCGGACCGTACTGGGACAGAAAGACAGAGAGGTAACACCCGGCACGGCCCCGAGGATGTAACATACGCACCACCCGGCACAGCCAGGGGGCGTGGAGTGGAGACACTGGCGATGTGCACTGCGCAGCGGAGCTCAGAGGAGCACCGCGGCAGTACAAGTCCTCCACGGCGGTACAAGTCCACCACGGCACTACAAGTCCTCCACGGCGGTACAAGTTCTCCACGGCGGTACAAGTCCTCCACGGCGGTACAACTCCTCCACGGCGGCACCTCCCGCCTCCCCCAGAGCGGATCTGGGACGCACCGCCGCAATGTCCCAAAATATGCTGATTTGAGTGGGAAACGACACCCAATGACGAATAATTTTCCACTCTCATATATGAGTTTCGAAGTGATTTTCCCACTCTCAAAAGGTCCTTTCGCATAAATGAGTAAAATAACACCAAGACCAGTGCCGTAACACTGAAGCCACACTGAAATCGTCGAGTTTTTCCTCACCTTTCAAACTCATAATCCCACATTTTGATGCCCATTTTCCACTCTCATTGGCCTTTTCGGCCTCGAATTTTCCACTCCGACACCCAAGCCAAATTGTAATTTTGGGACACTGCACCGCCGACGTCACGCGCACACTGTGCCGCGGCCCGTCAGCCAGCGCTCACCATGTAGCAGAACAGGTTGGGGCAGCGACCCTCGGCCGAGTGACCGCTGCCGCCGCACAGGTAACACGTCGGCGGCCGCGGGCAGGCGGCCATCACGTGACCGACCTCGTCACAGCGGCGACACCTGTCGACAGAAACGGGAACCTCAGCTTCGGTTTGGCAGAGCCGCGTGGGAGGGAAAACGCTTCGGCAAAACTGCAAAGTGGAGAGTGACGTCATTAAAATTTACGAAGATTTATAAATATATGAAGATTTATTGTTAGATTGCATTTGTACTCAACATTCAAAATAATGATTGAGGTTAAGTAAGCGGAAAATCAAACTTTAACACTATTTTAGAATATCAATATGCCGGGCAGCTGAACAGTGAAATCATTGCAGCTTTGAAGCACCAGCGCTGGTTACCAGGCCTGCAGTCGGCAGGACATACCTGTTCTTGGCCAGATTACTGTAGTAGCGAGCGGCGGCCGGCCGGGCGGCCGCCGGCCTCTGGCGGTATTCAACAGGAACATCCCACCCGCGGTCTGAGGGAGAGAGACAGGGACCAGTGTACATAGCGTCCTACCCGCGTACCGGGGGAGAGACAGAGACACACACACACACACACACTGAACACAGCGTCCCACCCGCGGTCTGAGGGAGAGACAGGGACCAGTGAACAACACAGCGTCCCACCCGCGGTCTGGGAGAGAGACAGGGACCAGTGAACAACACAGCGTCCCACCCGCGGTCTGGGAGAGAGGAGGGAGACCACTTTACAGAGCGTCCCACCCGAGGACCGGGGAGACACGCACCACTTGATAGAACGCCGAGCAGAAAAGGAGTCAATCAGGGAACCAGACAGCGAGCCAGACAGCGAGCCAGTCAGCCGACCGGTCATGGAAAACGACAGCAGACCGGACAGGGAAAGATTGAACCAGGCGGACAACCAGACAGCTGACCCGACTCCGGACTGGGAACCAGATAGAAAATCAGACAGAGAACCAGACCGTCGACCATACAGGAAACCACACATAAAGAACCAGTCAGAGAGCCGGACAAGGGAAAATACAGAAAGTCAGAGAGGGAACCATGAGTCAATTGATCACACAGGACCCGGATAGCAGACCACTCAGCCCACCAGACAGGATCTGAATGTGGCTTGGGCTCTGAAGAACAGACAACAGTTCAGTTACGGGCGTTTCGTTTTATCGGACCTGCCACGGCCGCCCCAGGGCCCGTAGTGTCAGCTATAGTGTGTAGTGTGTAGTGACTCACCCGACATGGTCTCCTGCAGGCCGTGGACCTCCGACGGCCCGTAGTGCCGCGGGGTGGCGTAACCCTCCCTCTGGCGGGCGCTCCATTTGTGGCAGACCGGGGCGCGGCAGAGAGGCTCCAGCAGACGCCGCTCCGACTCGGCCAGCGACACACTGGACAGGGCGCGCCTGAGAAACACACCGCACAGTCAGCGACACACTGGACAGGGTGCGCCTGAGAAACACACCGCACAGTCAGCCACACACTGGACAGGGCCACACACCGCACAGTCAGCCACACACTGGACAGGGCCACACACCGCACAGTCAGCGACACACTGGACAGGGCGCGCCTGAAAAACACACCGCACAGTCAGCGAGACACTGGACAGGGCACGACTGAGAAACACACCGCACAGTCAGCGACACACTGAACAGGGCGCGCCTGAGAAACACACCGCACAGTCAGCCACACACTGGACAGGGCCACACACCGCACAGTCAGCGACACACTGGACAGGGCGCGCCTGAGAAACACACCGCACAGTCAACGAGACACTGGACAGGGCACGACTGAGAAACACACCGCACAGTCAGCGACACACTGGACACTGCATAGGGTGCGACTGAGAAACACACCGCACAGTCAACGAGACACTGGACAGGGCACGACTGAGAAACACACCGCACAGTCAGCGACACACTGGACAGGGCGCGCCTGAGAGACACATCGCACTGTCAGCGAGACACTGGACAGGGCACGACTGAGAAACACAACGCACAGTCAGCGACACACTGGACAGGGCGCGCCTGAGAAACACACCGCACAGTCAACGAGACACTGGACAGGGCACGACTGAGAAACACACCGCACAGTCAGCGACACACTGGACAGGGTGCGCCTGAGAAACACACAGCACAGTCAGCCACACACTGGACAGGGCCACACACCGCACAGTCAGCGACACACTGGACAGGGCACGACTGAGAAACACACCGCACAGTCAGCGACACACTGGACAGGGCGCGCCTGAGAAACACATCGCACAGTCAGCGAGACACTGGACAGGGCACGACTGAGAAACACACCGCACAGTCAGCGACACACTGGACACTGGATAGGGTGCGACTGAGAAACACACCGCACAGTCAACGAGACACTGGACAGGGCACGACTGAGAAACACACCGCACAGTCAGCGAGACACTGGACAGGGTGCGCCTGAGAAACACACAGCACAGTCAGCCACACACTGGACAGGGCCACACACCGCACAGTCAGCGACACACTGGACAGGGCGCGCCTGAGAAACACACCGCACAGTCAGCCACACACTGGACAGGGCCACACACCGCACAGTCAGCCACACACTGGACAGGGCCACACACCGCACAGTCAGCCACACACTGGACAGGGCCACACACCGCACAGTCAGCCACACACTGGACAGGGCCACACACCGCACAGTCAGCCACACACTGGACAGGGCCACACACCGCACAGTCAGCGACACACTGGACAGGGCGCGCCTGAGAAACACACCGCACAGTCAACGAGACACTGGAAAGGGCACGACTGAGAAACACACCGCACAGTCAGCCACACACTGGACAGGGTGCGCCTGAGAAACACACAGCACAGTCAGCCACACACTGGACAGGGCCACACACCGCACAGTCAGCGACACACTGGACAGGGCGCGCCTGAGAAACACACCGCACAGTTAGCCACACACTGGACAGGGCCACACACCGCACAGTCAGCGACACACTGGACAGGGCGCGCCTGAGAAACACACCGCACAGTCAGCGACACACTGGACAGGGCCACACACCGCACAGTCAGCGACACACTGGACAGGGCACGACTGAGAAACACACCGCACAGTCAGCGACACACTGGACAGGGCGCGCCTGAAAAACACACCGCACAGTCAGCGAGACACTGGACAGGGCACGACTGAGAAACACACCGCACAGTCAGCCACACACTGGACAGGGCCACACACCGCACAGTCAGCCACACACTGGACAGGGCCACACACCGCACAGTCAGCGACACACTGGACAGGGCGCACACACCGCACAGTCAGTGACACACTGGACAGGGCGCACACACCGCACAGTCAGCGACAAACTGGACAGGGCGCGCCTGAGAAACACACCGCACAGTCAGCCACACACTGGACAGGGCCACACACCGCACAGTCAGCGACACACTGGACAGGGCGCGCCTGAGAAACACACCGCACAGTCAGCCACACACTGGACAGGGCGCGCCTGAGAAACACACCGCACAGTCAGCGACACACTGGACAGGGCGCACCTGAGAAACACACCGCACAGTCAGCGACACACTGGACAGGGCCACACACCGCACAGTCAGCGACACACTGGACAGGGCGCGCCTGAGAAACACACCGCACAGTCAGCGACACAATGGACAGGGCCACACACCGCACAGTCAGCGACACACTGGACAGGGCGCGCCTGAGAAACACACCGCACAGTCAGCGACACACTGGACAGGGCGCGCCTGAGAAACACACCGCACAGTCAGCGACACACTGAACAGGGCCACACACCGCACAGTCAGCGACACACTGGACAGGGCGCGCCTGAGAAACACACCGCACAGTCAGCGACACACTGGACAGGGCGCGCCTGAGAAACACCGCACAGTCAGCGACACACTGGACAGGGCCACACACCGCACAGTCAGCGACACACTGGACAGGGCGCGCCTGAGAAACACACCGCACAGTCAGCGACACACTGGACAGGGCCACACACCGCACAGTCAGCGACACACTGGACAGGGCCACACATCGCACAGCCAGCGACACACTGGACAGGGCCACACACCGCACAGTCAGCGACACACTGGACAGGGCACGACTGAGAAACACACCGCACAGACAGCGACACACTGGACAGGGCGCGCCTGAGAAACACCGCACAGTCAGCGACACACTGAACAGGGCCACACACCGCACAGTCAGCGACACACTGGACAGGGCGCGCCTGAGAAACACACCGCACAGTCAGCGACACACTGGACAGGGCGCGCCTGAGAAACACACCGCAAAGTCAGCGACACACTGGACAGGGCGCACACACCGCACAGTCAGCGACAAACTGGACAGGGCGCGCCTGAGAAACACACCGCACAGTCAGCGATACACTGGACAGGGCGCGCCTGAGAAACACACCGCACAGTCAGCGACACACTGAACAGGGCCACACACCGCACAGTCAGCGACACACTGGACAGGGCGCGCCTGAGAAACACACCGCACAGTCAGCGACACACTGGACAGGGCGCGCCTGAGAAACACACCGCACAGTCAGCGAGACACTGGACAGGGCACGACTGAGAAACACACCGCACAGTCAGCGACACACTGAACAGGGCCACACACCGCACAGTCAGCGACACACTGGACAGGGCCACACACCGCACAGTCAGCCACACACTGGACAGGGCGCGCCTGAGTAACACACCGCACAGTCAGTGAGACACTGGACAGGGCCACACACCGCAAAGTCAGCGACACACTGGACAGGGTGCACACACCGCACAGTCAGCGACACACTGGACAGGGCGCGCCTGAGAAACACACCGCACAGTCAGCGACACACTGGACAGGGCGCGCCTGAGAAACACACCGCACAGTCAGTGACACACTGGACAGGGCCACACACCGCACAGTCAGCGACACACTGGACAGGGCGCGCCTGAGAAACACACCGCACAGTCAGCGACACACTGGACAGGGCGCACACACCGCACAGTCAGCGACACACTGGACAGGGCGCGCCTGAGAGACACACCGCACAGTCAACGAGACACTGGACAGGACGCACATGAGAAACACACCGCACAGTCAGCCACACACTGGACAGGGTGCGCCTGAGAAACACACCGCACAGTCAGCGAGACACTGGACAGGGCCACACACCGCACAGTCAGCGACACACTGGACAGGACGCGCCTGAGAAACACACCGCACAGTCAGCGACACACTGGACAGGGCGCGCCTGAGAAACACACCGCACAGTCAGCGACACACTGGACAGGGCACGACTGAGAAACACACCGCACAGTCAGTGACACACTGGACAGGGCGCACACCGCACAGTCAGCGACACACTGGACAGGGCGCGCCTGAGAAACACACAGCAAAGTCAGCGACACACTGGACAGGGCACGACTGAGAAACACACCGCACAGTCAGTGACACACTGGACAGGGCGCACACCGCACAGTCAGCGACACACTGGACAGGGCGCGCCTGAGAAACACACCGCACAGTCAGCGACACACTGGACAGGGCGCGCCTGAGAAACACACCGCACAGTCAGTGACACACTGGACAGGGCGCGCCTGAGAAACACACCGCACAGTCAGCGACACACTGGACAGGGTGCGCCTGAGAAACACACCGCACAGTCACCCACACACTGGACAGGGCCACACACCGCAAAGTCAGCGACACACTGGACAGGGTGCACACACCGCACAGTCAGCGACACACTGGACAGGGCGCGCCTGAGAAACACACCGCACAGTCAGCGACACAATGGACAGGGCCACACACCGCACAGTCAGCGACACACTGGACAGGGCCACACATCGCACAGCCAGCGACACACTGGACAGGACGCGCCTGAGGAACACCGCACAGTCAGCAACACACTGGACAGGGCCACACATCGCACTGTCAGCGACACACTGGACAGGGCCACACAACGCACAGTCAGCGATACACTGGACAGGGTGCACACACCGCACAGTCAGCGACACACTGGACAGGACGCGCCTGAGAAACACACAGCACAGTCAGCGACACACTGGACAGGGCACGACTGAGAAACACACCGCAGAGTCAGTGACACACTGGACAGGGCGCACACCGCACAGTCAGCGACACACTGGACAGGTCGCGCCTGAGAGACACACCGCACAGTCAGCGACACACTGGACAGGGTGCATACACCGCAGTCAGCGAGACACTGGACACATATTGTTCAGTGGCGCCCTGAAGGGCTGCAGGACGGTCGGTTTCCGTACACACAGAGCGGCCCGGTCACCCATAATCCCTCTCCCCCTCCCCCCCCACACACAGACACACAGAAACTGACCGGTAGGCAGGCTCGGGCAGAGCCGGTTCCTGAGCGGCCACCTGCTCCGGCCGCCGCCCCGGACGCTGCTCCACAGCGGCGCCCCGCACGTTCATCTGGATATTGCAGTCCAGCGGCAGGCCGGCGGCGCCGTCGCTGTCCTCTGCCGACGAGCTGAGGTCGGAGCTGGTGCGCGGTCTGGGCCGCGAGTCGCCGGCCGGCGGGACCACCTCCGGCTCCGAGGAGGACGTCGAGCCGTCCAGGGTGACCAGGGCGGGCGCCTGGGCGCGCCGACACCTCCCGCACGCCGTCGTCCGCGGACAACTCCGAGTCCGAGGAGGAGCCGTGCACGGTGACCAGCGGCCGGGCCGGGCCGGGCCGCGCCTGCCGCCGCCGCTCGCTGGCTGCCAGCGCCGCCGTCTTCGTCTCTGCGTCATCACTGGAGGAGGACGAGAGACGCGGCCGCTTGGCCGGCCGGCTGGCTGGCGGGTGGGCCAGCTGCACCGAGTCCCCGAGAGTGACGGAGGCCCGGCCCGGCGCCCCCGCGGCCGCGGCCGGGCGCGGGTCGGCGGTCTCAGACGCCCGGTCAGCGGCACCAGTCGGCTGCGCCGGGCCGTCCGCCGGGCGACTGGTGATGGCAGCACCAGCCGGACTGTGGCCCGCAGGGCGCCGCCCCACGCCGCCAGTCCCGGGTGTCTCGGCGGTCCCTGGCGATTGGCCCCTGACGACAGGCGCGGGAGTCCCTGCCGCCGGGGCGGCACCGGGTGCCGTCCCCTCTGCTCTCCCCTCCCCCGGCGGGTCGGCGTGACCCAGTCCATTGGCGAGGGCAGCCGGAGCCGCTGCGCCAGGGCCGGACGTTTTGGACGGCCCGGGCTCCTCAGGCACGCGCTGTGACGGGGCAGGCAGAGCCTCCACCGCCCCAGTGGCGGCGTCCGGCGCGGCGTAGTGGATCTGGGCGTAGAGCATGGCCTCGAGCTCCTCCCTGTCGGCCTGCTCCATCTCCTCCAGGTCAAACTCGGCGTCCGCGGCCATTCTGAAACAGCACAGCCGAGTCACACACTAGTCAAGGTCAATGTCAAAAACAATGTCAGGTCGCCAAAGGTCACTTTAAACAACAATCGATTGTTCTGATGGACCGCTTTTGAGGACCGCCGGGGCAGCTTGGGAGTCTGTACATATGATGGCGACATCTTCGTGAGCCGGGTGCTCCAGAAGGTGTCTCAGGGCCGTGCGGACTGCGGAGGGCTACCATCTCGGCCCGGTAGCTGCTACACAAACTGCCGGCCGGGGCACGGAGATCTCCCGATGTGTCATCCAGCCACACGATGAGTGCTCCGGCGCCGCCGTCCCTGAAGCCCTCCCTCCGCTGAACCATCCGTCCACACTCAGGTGGTGCACTGGGGAAGGGAGGCCAGATAGAGGGCAGCCTCTTGTCTCCGGCGTTCTGCGGGCGATCCAGGTGGAAGGCGCGTCCCGGCCTCCAGGTCAAAGGTGACCGGCGCGGGTCGCAGCCACGGTGGGGTACGGGGCTGAAGGATGGGCTCCATCCTCGCCTCCACTCCAGCCTCCGTCCACGCCACCTGTCCCACTTCTCTCCAGAATGTCACCGATGACCGATGCAGCCGCTTCACTGCCGTGCTGTCCGCAACTAGTCGGAGGGGGTCCTCTTCAGGGAGGGCTCGCGCCTTCGCCAGCAGTCGAGCAGCTAGCGTGGTCCTTCTTGAAGCCACCCGGGCGAGGCTCGCTTCCGCCATCAGCGCATGTGTCGCGTTCGACGCGACGCAGCCCGTGATAATCCGAGCCGCAACCCTCATCTCGCGTTCCAACACCTCGACGTGGGACGGTGGGGTTGAAGGGAGCCAAGCTTCCGCCGCGTGCTCTAACGCTCCTCGTACGTAGCCGTTGGCCACCGTGCGGAGCTGCTTCTCCTCCAGACCTCAGTCCCGTCCTGTCCGGCGCCGCAGGTGGGCGAGCCTCGGCCGGGTACGTTGTTTCAGTTTCTTGCAGTGGTGACCAAAGTATAGGAGGCGGTCTAGCGTCACACCGAGCAGGTTGAGGGTGTCTCGCGCCTTCACTGTCACTCCGGCCACCTGATGGAGAGGTCCACTGCGTCCCTGGCCCACTGCGAGAGGACCATCACCTGCGTCTTTTGGCCGGCGACCAACATCTTCGACGATCTTGCCCACTTGACGAGTGATTCGGCTGCCAGCTGGGCGCGCTGCCTGGCCGTCTGGATGTCAGCGCCTGAGCACAGTGCTGCCGTGCCGTCCGCGTACATAAATGGCGACCATTCTGGGATGTCCTTGAGGGAGCGTATGAGCGGTGCTGCCCATAACAAAACAAAGGGCGGGGCTAGGCCGCTACCTTGAGGCAATCCTGCCCGGAACACACGCTCTCTGCTGAGCTCTTCACTCCGTTTACCTCCACACGGACTCTTCTGTCTTGCAGCCACTGCCATAGCCATCGCACCATGCAGAGGGGAAGGCCCCAGTTCGAGAAACCGGACACGAAACAGGCGGTGGTCCACCACGTCGTAGGCCCTGGCGAAGTCAAAAGCCGTTAGCAAGAACTTCTGTGCCGTCGTGCCCTCGGGTGGGTCCTTCTTCCTCGCCTTGGGGAGATGCCAGCCATCGTGTACTTCTTGGATGAGTCTCCCGATGCTGTCTCCCACCGACCGGCCCCTTCTGAAGTCGACTTGCTCCGGGGGGATCAAGCCGCGGGACTCTGCCGGGAACACGAGGCGTGCCTTGATGAGGCGCACCACCAGTTTTCCTACGTGGGAAGTGAGGGCGATAGGTCTGAAGCTGGCGACGAGCCTTCTGTCTTTTCCGGACTTCGGGGTGGGCACAACGGTGGCGGCCCGCCACTGTCGTGGAACCTGACCGGTTGTCCAGGACTCGTTGGTGATTGTCAGCAGTTCACCGCGGGCGACCGGGCCGAGGTGACGAATCATCTCGCTGGACAGTTGGTCGGGGCCGGGCGACTCCTTCAGCTGTAGTCTGCTGATCTCACTCACCAGGTCTTCCATGTAGAAGAGGGAACAGGCTGTGTGAGCTGCGATGGCCCTCACACTCCTGACAAGAGCGCAACGTTTGTCGGGTCATCTTGTGGCGAGCGAATCCGGTCCAGCTGCGGGACGCGGACTTGGCGAAACACGCACGTACTCGCGAGCGAACGCCTCTGCTTTGTCCTTGTCCGTGCTGATGGTTCCGGTACCTGGTAACCTCGGGAGGGTTCACAAGACACTTGAGAAGTGGGAACGTGGCCTGGACGATGATCCCCGTAATGGACAGGCTATGGAAGATCGCGGCAAAACCATCAGCAAAGTATGGCTCGCAGCAGTCGCAGGTCGACGAAGCGCACCAGCCCACGTTCAAAGTCCGCACCAATCCTTCGAACAGAGCCGGAAGATCCGCACCGAAGCTGGCTGAGAGTACAAAAAAAAAAAAAAATCCGCACCAAGCCCGCACAAGTGACCAGTTGAAAGCCACACTGACCTCAATTATTGATGAGCCACAATCCTGCCGTCTCAGTAGTGTGGAAACGAAACGAGAAATACGCAATGCAGAACTACAATAAAAGGCATGTCACGCCAATACAAGAACCCTATGCGGTAGCTGCCGCTGGCGATTCATCCACGGTGATTATTGTGCAATGTACCATGGTTACCCTAATGGTGTTAACAGCCATTTGGCTCAACGGCTTGACACCTTGCCAAGGCCCCAGTTACAAAAAATGGAAATATGAACGGCAAAAAGTGGGCTCATGGCATGCATATGGCATGCATTTTCGGCATTTCTCGTTAGCTCATTAGCTGTATCGAACAACAAATATAATAGCCGGTCCCGTAGCTCAGTTGGTACTTGGTAGAGCGCTGGACTCCGCGTGGTGAGAGCACGCCTTCTCGGTTATAACAGTCCGGGTTCGAAGCGCGACGGGCGCTCGACATTTATAGGCCTCCTGACAGGTATGGTTGCGGTTGGTGGCAGGCCGTAGCCAGGCGAAGTCAGTGAGGGGACCGGCCGTGCGCGGCTATGTGCGCACGTTAAACTTTGGACTCTAAATTATGCCATAGAACTGGAATTGCGCGATCCGAGGGTAAAGGGCAGGGTCACCGCAACAAGCTCCGCTTAGCGGTGGCTCTGTCCTTGCGGATCCTTCCTATCAAAAGGTTCGGACTAAATTTATAAAAAAAAAACAAAACAGGCAAGCCATTCACAGCGGATTTGACTACTTAGCCGCGGCAAAGCGATGGTCCTGAAGGCCTGCCATCAACCATGCGCATCTCGCTCTACCTACCACCGAGCGACAACGCCAAGTTTTCACATGAGCCGAGCGCATCTAGTTGACGAACGCTGCAGAGTGCAGAATGCAACAAACTCAGCTTCTTTCAACACAGCCAGGCTGGTCGAAAGTACCCGATAACTTGTTCGCGTTTGACTGCTTGAAGCGGCGGAGCGGTGATTTTCTAGCCCCCGGCTCCCATTGGCCGTATGAATCTTAAGCTCGAGGAGATGAGATCTCATCGGCCGTGCCCATCCCTCTCACTCTACCGCCGCCGCCTCGCAAAACCGAGCGGTGAGTTTCGTGTTGTAGGTAACAGTGCAAAGAGTGCGAACTTGCGGGCGAGCCACGTCACACGTGATTGATGGGACCACCAGCACCGGCAGTCCGTTCCGACAACCTCACACTCATTTTGACCCGAGAGCACACTGAATTACCTACGTGATTTCATCAAGGCTCCAATAATGCTTTTTTCCTCATCTATCTCGTCGGGTCTGTCTGTCATGCCCGTCACTAAGCCAATTCCGCACCGCACTTCACCAGCCGACCTAGTCCACACCGACGAGATCACGTCGAAATTGCCATACTTTGCAGACTGGGTTGACCTGACCTGGAAGGTCAACCAATGACCTAGGACCTTTAATGGGGTATCATTGGCTTCCTCTCGTCGCGGGCATCACGCTCGTTTTTTTTCTGCAAAGCTCTAGCTCGATGAAGGGCCAAACAGCAAGGGAGGTCCAAAGCAACCCCCCTTCCTTATAGGCAGGGCTGCGGAGTCGGAGTCGGAGTCGGTCGGAGTCGACAGTTGTGACCGGAGTCGGAGTCGGAGTCGATTTTAGAAACCCGAGCCGGAGTCGGAGTCGGAGTCACCGAAAATCTGTCGACTCCGCAGTCCTGCTAGGACTGCGGAGTCGGAGTCGGGAGTTGGAGTCGGTCGAAGTCGACAATTCTGCCCGGAGTCGGAGTCGGAGTCGGAGCTGGTTTTTGAAAGCCGGAGTCGGAGTCGGAGTCGGAGTCCCCGAAAATCCATCGACTCCGCAGCCCTGCTTATAGGTATTTTCGCGGCTGGCAAAACACCAATACGGTATCAAAACACCAATACTGTCCGCATAACGGGCTGACTGTGCCAAAATTTTGATTTTTTATCAAAATTTTGGCAGAGTCCATCCATATTCCGTTATGCCAGACTTGTCCGCCGTCAGTAATACGGATTTCTCTTCCGGCTCCAGTGCTGGAAATGAGGCCGCTTTCTAGTTTCTGGTCCCGGCGTTTTATTCTCCGGGTGGGTTAGCCCCGTCTTAGCCTTTCAGGACCCCTCAGAGCCGTGGTTATTTTCGCCGCTCGGCCCATTCGAGATGCAAAGTTGATAGTCACACCAAGTTTATTTGGGGCCTCTGAATACACGACTTTGAAATCAATCGATTCTACGAAACATTTTTCTTCAATCTATATGCATACAGTAACTCCAGCCTAGGCTGGTTTGGCTGGTCCTAAATAAGCTTTGCCCAGCTGCAGCACCACGCTGGGCTTTTCAGCCATTGGCGCCCTGCTGGGGGGGGGGGAAGATTCTGACCCCCCCCCCGCCTAACTTCCGAACAGATGGTCGTATAAAGACGGGGAAAACGGCAATCGAAAGCTCTCAACAAGGCGGATCTTAAGTGCCCAATTTTTTCTTCGGGTGAGATCAAGTAAAGGTGTTAACCTCGGTCAAGGTCAGGTCACAGCCCGTCAGGTCACGAAGCTGGTCAA